TTATAAATAATTATTACTGTATTAGGTGTAGTATATAAATAATTATTACTGTATTAGGTGTAGTATATAAATTAATAATACTGTATGAGGTGTAGTATATAAATTAATAATACTGTATGAGGTGTAGTATATCAATTAATATTACATATTACTGTATTAGGTGTAGTACATCAATGAATACTACTGTATGAGATGTAGCATATCAATGAATATTACTGTATGAGGTGTAGTATATAAATTATTATTACTGTATTAGGTGTAGTATATAAACTATTATTACTGTATTAGATGTAGTATATCAGTTAATATTGCTGTATTAGGTGTAGTCCATTAATAAGTATTTTTGTGCTAGGTACAATAAATAAGTTGAACCTACTACATAATGTATAGTATATTTATTAGAACTGCTAAAGCAGATATACTGCAGTTTTCGGAATAGTATACGATAAAATAATCTTACATTAACTGTAGTTAATGGATGGCTGATAGTGATGATAAATGATATGCATGTTTTGTAGATCCGTATAGGAATAATTTTATGTCAAAAGTCAGGTAGTTTGACTAGTTAAAAAGGACCTTAGTGCAGTTACTATAGGATTAACCCTTTAGTATGTACAATTGAACGCTCTCCTTAGAGCAGGAGCTGTTAATTATTGAATTCAAGCGAGAGCTTTTCCATTTGAGTTAACTCCATTGCTACTTTATTCAGGATATTTTTAACTATTCAGACTACCAGGCTACCACTAATGCAGTTCTTCTGAGTTTTGTTTGTCTACTCTTCAGACCATGATGTTTTCTTTAACTTCACAAACATCTTATACCTTTCCATAATAGCCAAAAGATAAATTATTGTCATCCAGTTTCACAGAAGTTTACACTTTATCTGTATTAAAACACGAATTAGTGTCTTCTCCAACTTCACGGACTTTTGCAAATGGTTGCGTTTTTATGTTTATAATAAAGGTTAATCGCACTTTATAGAAATGCTTTTCAAGGTCCAGCATTGTACTTGGAAACGCTTATTCCATAATCAGTCGTTCTGAGTCTGATGGTCAGGATTACACACCGTTACCCAAAAATGACAATTTCCATTGTAACAAGCCTCAACAAAGGGTGACGATGTCAGTCTTAAGCCACATTTACACAGACCTTTCAATGAATATGGATTTGGGCTTCAAATACCACTTTTAAGCAGACTAAAGGCACAAAACGAAAACATTAAAGCTGTGCAGAACTTGACAGTAAACTGCTCTCATTCTGCTTTCTTCTATAGACATTCTCACGAACAATTCGTTAATTTAGAGATGTGTCTGCTAGCTTATAAGCCATCGTCAACTTCAAACCCTTGTTTATTATCTTGTTGACCGCATTGAACGATATACACAGCGTCACCCCAATGCTTTTTTCGGACAGGAACGTTCTATTTCATATGCATAACGTTACCCTTACTTCATTGTAGGTTGTTGTTTCGGAGCCTGTTCATATCTTAAACGTTCTGATTTATGAGATTTTCCGCTGCCATGGAGAACATTTTCTTCAAGGTTGTTTGTTTTTTAGCTGTACGTCATAAAACATGAACGTACTATTTCATATGCATAACGTTACCCTTACTTCAGTGTGTTGTTTCGGAGCTTGTTCCAATCTTAAACGTTCTGGTGTATGAGATTTTCCTCTGTCATGGAGAACATTTTCATCGAGGTGGTTTATTCTTTAGCTCTACATCATATAACAGTCTTTACTATATGAATAATCTTCCTCGGAAAACAATGAACATAAACTTCTAGCCATAGGTTTAAACCATGGTGGCATTGTACAACAAACAGAGAATGGTTTATCGTGAACTAAATACATAGATGCTAAACATGTTTGCGGGATGCCACGGCTTCCCTCTGCGGCGACCGCCACGTGACTAAACCTCTTTCGTTGCTTACCAGGGATTAAACAAACGCAGTGTAAATTCTAATGGCTCTTCTACACATACATTTGCTATATAAACAACATTACTGTATTAAAATAATGTATTTAAAAGAGAAAGTTGAATCTGTGGAACTATATTCTATGTAGTCTATAAGAACTGGAGTAATATAATGTGAGTTATCTCGTGAAAGATTCTAGCATTCTGTCAGTAATACTTTGTTGTGCTGCAATTATTTGTTTAATGGAATACTTTGACGGAGTTAGCAATACTTCGTTTCTAAATGGAAATGTGACCCTGAAATATGAAATATATGGCTTAAGTTTGATGTGAATCACAAAGTTGCATAAAGAGCTATCTTTGCTGTGTTCACAGAAGAGATTGGACCTTGAATTCTAGCGTTATAAGTCCTCAAGCTTACCGCTGAGCTACCGTGTGGCTTGAATGTATGAAGTCTTAGTTGATACCGTAAACAAGTTAAAAATTATAATTTACATATCCCTTAATAAAACAAGGATTAAAAAATACATGATTGAAAGGAACATTATGATTATTACGCCGTGTTTACAAAAAAAAAGCAACAGCAGCAACAACTCTTGTGAATCTTTATATACTCGTTAACATTAAACTTGCATATTTACGTAACCTTTAAATTAAGCAATACATGCAGTTCAAATTTAGTGAATCTGTTGTCGAACTGTTTTGTGGTATGAGTTTGAAAAATATTTTGTTTACTCACACTGGACATATGTATATATATATATATATATATATTAGTGTGTGTGTATGTGTAGGTAAGCAAGTAACACTGTCTGCCTTTATGTAGTGTAAACACTGTATGTACATACATAGTGTTAGAAAAAC